AGTAAATTAGCTTTCCTCTGGTGTGTGTTTGTTAGTTACATATAAAAAAACTCTCTTCTTTCTTTCATCTCTCTGCTTCTTATGTAATGTCTAATATTCAGTCAACAACTTATCTTTTTGTTTATCATGACAGCTTCTCTTTGGCATAAACGTCTCTCTTCTTGTCTCCTTGTCTCCCTCACTCAGATCTGAGAAGGTAAACGGAGGTGAAACTTTGGTAAATCAGATCAACGCTCAGTTTAACTGCAACGGAATGTGTGGGTAAGCTTTGCTTCACGGGGTTTTTCAACTGTCAGAGAGAAAAATCTGAGTTCTTCTGTCCAAAACAGACTAGGAGATCATTTTCTCTCATTTATACAAAAATCCTTGAGCTCATTTTTGCTTATATGATACAAAAATTTCACAAAAATGTCAAAAGCCACTGCGAAATAATAATTTCAAAGCCTAATCTCAAACGGAAATAAGCAGGCCCAGAGCTTCCGGCCCATATCTATCAAAAAAGCCCTGCCCTGATGTGTTTAGCGGTAGTAAAATGATCCCACATCGGTTACATGAGAAATAGTTGATAGTGGAAGCAGAGTATAAGTAGAGAAGTCTAGTCTTTAAGAAAATCACTTACCTGGACGGGGTCAACTCGTGATCATGAAGACGAGTGGCCTAGGCTAGTGACTTCCATTGCACTTAACGGAAGGGTGCTCATGCCTAAGGTCTTCCCAAGTGGAAGAGCCTGCGTCATTATTTGTGGCAGAGGGGGTTTGCGTACGCGCAGCCCCTACCATATATACTCAGTCGAATTTTGGATCTGATCAGTGAATAAGTCCTTTGGCTCCATGTTTTTGCTTTGATTGATGATAAACTAAATAATATCACTGGGCAGAATTTGTGTTGGGATTTCACAGAATCGGAATCCAAATAAAACGACACTGAGGGTTTTTTACGGGTACGTTCTCGGTGAGACTCTTGCTTCCCCACAACATCCATTAAGGAATTGTCTTTTGGGGACATACCCACTACTTCTCTGATGAATTGTGTTTCTTCTTTTTAGTCTACGACAACCACCACTATACAAGACGCAAAGCCAGTGGTCAGAAACAACCTTGCACACCATCTGTTCGACGATTTGTCTCTGTGAAACCTTTACCGTGACGTTCGGAATTGGTCTCTCTTTTCCCTTCAATGGCTTCGACGCTTTTCAGAAGAAGTTGTCTCCGTTTGCTGAGTTTCACCTCCGTTTCTCGACCACCATCACATTGTTTCTCTTCGAGATTTTCCAGCAGCGAAACTGTGGCTAAAACCGCGCTTGGTTCGAGTGGTTGTGCTATAGAAACTGTGGATGATGATGCTTGGAATGTCTCGTCATCTATATCCCAAGCTTGGAGAGAATTCCAAGCAGACACTGCAAAAAAATCATCCTTTACAATACAAGGTGGAGAAAAAACAAGAATTGATGATGAAGATGAAATCGATAACATGAGAATCCGCGGTGATCTTTTCTACAAGCTTGATCGAGGGTCAAAAGAATTCGAGGAATACAACTACGATTTCCACCG